AGTGAGGCCTGTGTAAGGTCTTGATGTTTAGTGAGGATTGTTGTATCGTCTGCATTTGTAGCTGTCAAGATCTCATCGTCAATAGGTATATCGTAAGTGTATATAACGTAAAGTAGAGGGGCTAGTATTGAACCTTGGGGAACTCCGGCCAAGATTGGACGGACTGAAGACACTTCCGAGCCCTGCCGAACTGAAAAAAATCTGTCGAAGAGGAAAGATTGAAGGATAAGATAGTAGGTGTATGGAAGTATAGTCTTAAGTTTAAAGAGAAGACCCTGGTGCCAGACTCTATCAAACGCCTGAGCAACATCCAAAAATACTCCAGTTGCATATAGTTTTTGTTCTAAAGCTCCAGCAATGTAGTCTGTAACTCTGTGCAATTGATGTGTCGTCGAATGGAATGTGCGAAAGCCGAATTGGTGGTAATCAAATTAAATTGTAAAATGATTTAAAATTAATATAAATTGTTGTAAAATAAATTGTTGATTAAAAAATAAAAACTTTTGATGAATGATTACCTTTTTCCAAGTTGTTAGCTGTCTGTTGACAGTTGAGTACGGAATCAGCATAAGTCCGAAACAAATTTTTAATTTTACTGAGCATAATTTATGTCGAAATTAGGTAATTTTAGCATTACAGCAATTTAAATGTAGGTTATGATATTTTTAATTAAATTTGCCACTGCGTTGTAACGCATCAAGCAAATGGAGTTTATTCTATCTTCTTGTATTCTTGATATTTTCTTAACTTGCAAGCAGAAGATCTATATCACTGTCTTTTTAGTCGTTGCTGAGTCTCACCAGGTAACAGGGAGGAAGATAGAGATAGAATGAGTGGATTTGGATGATAGAGAGTAGAAGAATGAAATTTTGTGTACTTATAAATAACAATTTTAAATTACATTTTTTTTTCTCGCTTGGCATCTGCTCAAAAAATTTCAAACCCCCAATAACTCAATAGCGGATTGTCTTATCATGTAATTTTTCTTTTTTTTTTTTGCTTAAATTATAATTCATTCTTTCCAACAAAAAAAAGAAGGCCTATTTATGATGATAAATACGTTTTGAATGCGTTTAAATGGGACTTCAGTTTGAGAAAAGTTTTTTTATTCTATATGTAGATTTATGTTTTATCAGCATTCAAAGTTGCTCAATGATTGTTCTCTGATTTACAAAAACCCTTTTTTTTAAACTTTGTCTCTTTACCCACACCTCTCTGAAACTGACAACCAGCGAGTCGGCTGTCGTAAAGGAGACTAGTAATATAATTTAATAGTAGTAACATTGATTGGTATCCATTACTATCTTGATTCTATTATTAATTTTTGAGCGAGAAAATCTCTCATCCAGCTTCATTTTATAATTTTTTATAACTATAAATATGTAGTTCAGTTATAGTAAAGCATGTTACTTATAAAACACATAGGCCGTAGTGTTTCTTACTAATAGCTAACATATTCAAACAAATCAAATGGTTCAGAATTCTATCAAACATTACGAAACGATTTGCCCTATGAGTCAGGTGGGAAGAGAGGAAGTGAAATGCCAACAGTTCATTAGTCGCTACTGATAATTTTCGATGGAGCCATTCAGAAAGTAATTGATGTTAATTGGAGCAGCCAGCTGTTCGTAGCTTTGTATTTTCTTCAGCTTTCTCCCTGCCTTTCTTGAGGAAGTCCGACTAGAATTCATGAAAGAAAACAATTATAAGATAAAATAAGGTTTGGACGACTTGGAAAAAAAAATACTCATTTATAATCCCTGATCCCCATTGGCTGAAAAAGAAATAAACTCAGACAATGATTGCAAACTGACACAAAAGGCAGTCTCCCCCCTCCCTCACTTAAATCAAATCAAATAAGTGTCCCAAAACTTTATAATTCTATTATTAAAACAAAACTATAATAAATATCAAATATGAAAAATAAAAATATAAATTCAAAAGTATTTGTTAGATTTCTTTCTATGACACGTGACTGATTTAATGATATAACTGAGAAATGATTGAAGATAAGTTTTTTTAAACCATAAACATCTCCAAACAGTTTCAACCTTCAACTATAGTTATTTAAAGACGTAAAATGTTTTTAAAATATTAACTAAATTATTACAATAAAAATACATGTAGATTTTATCTTATTAATTGAAAATAAGAGCAATACGCCCAACGACAATTGGAAGTATGTCTTAGATATTTTTTTGAGTCCGCTCCAATATGCAAACCCCAATATACTCAAATGTTTGTACATGAGCTTTGTCTATAATCACTAACTAAGAATAACTAAACGGTAAACTGTGCTAACTTAATTATAATAGTAATGATTTACTAAATTGATTGAAATTTATGGTTACTGCTATGGAACTATGGATTGTAACCTGATTTTATTAACCCTATAGTCCTCTACAAAAAACGATCTCACTAACACTAGAAACATTTTTCAAATCGGAATATTTCCTGAGTTCATTGCGTTTAAATCGACGAACTCCATATAGTTTTTTTTAATTATATTTTTTAGAGTATAACATTATTATCAGCATCGTAATTTAAAATAATTTGTTATTAGTACACTATTCGTAAATTACTATTATTATCAAGATTATATCGTATGATCTCAATCGTCACATATACGATTAATTACGCTGGCAGGTGTGGGTGGCGGAATCATGTTTAAAAAAAAATACCCTCTTTATTATAATTCAATTAATTTATGTGTTAATCCTCCGAAAAGCAATAAAAATATTACAGAAGATTCAATAAAGTTGTGCCGCCAAAGCTGGAATTCATCTTGCCTTTGACCTATAACGCGAAGTTTTCTTCTAGCGGAAAATTGCATTTATTGCCCCCGGACGCAACAAGTACTTGGAAGTTACTTCGACAATGGAGACCTTGCGGGACAGTTGGCAGGGCAGCGATATTCCGGATTGACTTAGCCATGATGTCATGGAGGCATTGACCTTTTCCGATAGTTGTCAACAGCCGTGCAGCAATTACGAGCGAGATAGGTCTGCGGTGATTCAGGAAGCATTGAGGCATCTGCAGATTGCGTTACTGCGTTCTATAAACGGCCAAACTGCGTCCATTAATTGAAACGTCTTCCATGATTATCTCGTTTGAAAAAAACCAAAGCTGATCGCTATAAAAAATATATTATTTCTAGCTCTTATACCTTATTTGAACAATCGGTCAATTGCCAAGCGTAGCTACCTTATGTTATTGCTAACTGGGAGATATCCTTGGTAATTGAATTTATTACTGCTTACGAGAAGAGGTCAAAGGATCACCGGTTCCTTACGAATTTATTAATTTTTCTTTTTGTTTTTTGTACAAAAAAGAAAGAAATTGGTACATTCGTTCAGGCGTTATAGTCTACGCAGTTTTTTCGGCCATTATTTTCGAAGTGAAAGGCGGATCATCCTAGGATGACCTCTGATTTGAAATCCAAATTTGAAAAAAATCGGTGCAGTAGTTTCGGAGAAAATGCGCTGACGACGGATGGTGGACATGGGAAAAGTATTATTGTGCTTCTCAGTGTTTTGTATTTTTCAAGTTTGTTCTATTAGTTTTGTTGTATCGTTTCCTACTGTTTGTGTTATTTTAGTGTTTTATAGTTTTTTGAACATGATTTAGTTTTAGTTTATGTTTTGCTATGTATTGTAAAGACCGCCGGTGGAATAATTATTTTAAATGTAGAAATAAACATTATGTAGAAGTAAGTGTTCACATCTGGCGGTACCTGACTGAGGGTAACCCATTAGGACAACCTTTTGTAAGTGGTAATAAAAACCCTTAAGGACCACCGACAAAGACCGACAACTAAGTGTTTAAACAGGATCCCGAAAGACCTTTTCACACCTTCCACCAGAAATATCTAAGTCTGTACCTGCTGCTTTACCTTGGCCTGGAGGGGAGGGCGTGGTCATCCCTTAGGCTGAGAATATTCAGCCAATCAGGAAAAAGACTGCCAAAAGAGAGGGGGATGAAAAAAGGTGGGAGATAGAGAATTTGGACTGAGGACTTCTTTTTGGAACTCAGAGGAGGGAGGACTTGTTCTGGGGACTCGGAGAGGAGAAGCAAGGGAGTCGAGGGAGGAGGACGAAGACAGCCGGAGAGAGGAGATGGACGGACTAGACGCTGAAGGAGAGCAGAGACAGAGAATCCAGATGTGACGGCTAGAAACACCTAGAAACACTATGAAGGACCAGCTAAGTGGTAACAAGCATTTAGTTATACTAATGTATATTTGTGTTGGCAACCATCAATCATTAATTAATATAATCAAGATAACACATGTAACTTTAATTGAATATCAAGCATTCTCCTCTAGTATGATTCGCAACTAATATTATGTATATAGGTTTAGTTATTATTTTGTATATAGATGTTTTTGGTTTTATTTAAGCTTTTAAATATAATAGTTCGTAAACCAACGTAGTACTTTTACATTCTACCTTGCATGCCACCAATTAGTAATAGAAACAAATAGTAAATTTATAAACATGATACCTTTAGAAAGGAAATCCAATAAAGAGTATATGGTTCAATCTAGGATACTACAGTAGGGGGTCTGTGGTATCTAACATTTTAAATACCTAATTAATATATTTTTCTGTCGATCGGTTCCCTTCTGGAACCGATATGAATACAAACATAAGTATTAAATACGAATAAATGCGATTCCTGGAACCCCTTACTCGCCGTAGAAACGCGAGGCCAGGAACATAGCAGTTTATTTAGTTAATTTTATAAACTTTTTGAGTGAACAGTGGAGGTTAAGGTTAACTTTGTGGTTTTCACGAAGGTTTAATCTAACCAAAAGTATGTTTAGAGACTATTACGTTGGTGAAGCACTAAGGTAAGTTCATATTAAAGTCTTACTTTTGAAGATAGGAAATTTATAAGTTTCCCGAACGTAGGTTAGATTTTGAGTGTTGAATATTTCCTTCTACTGTTGTTCACCCATTATTTCAACGTATAAAGTTGTTAATTTTGGATTGCGTAAGATGGCTGATGAAATTGCATCAGCAATGGAGCAGGGAATAGTGGAAGAACAGGCTATAAAGTGCCCAAGGCCTTCAGCAAAGAGACAAAGGAAAGGATCTCCTGACGCCCGAGAAGAAACAGATAACGAACGTGTAGACGATAGTCTTCTGCAAGATGCACGTAGAATCAAAGAAAACATCAGGGTCTACATGAACGCAACAGACAGGAACGTGAGTGCGAAGGTACAAAAGCACGTTAATGGGAAAATTCAGCAGTTAATAGATATAATGGAGACAATATATGATAAGAACTATGAAAAAACGTTTTTAGTACAACGTGTGGTAAAGGACACATTAGCTTCCTCTGAAATGTATGATATCATAGTAAATGCATTAGTGGAAAAAGCAGTACCTATGGTTATCGAGGGAATCAAGACGGAAAGTAAAACCATACAAAGACCACTGTCAGAACCTCAGACATCTCGGGAGTTTCCATGCGTTAAAGAACAACCGCTATTAGCCGATGCCCTTATTGAGACCACGGAGAATGAAAGTTTCCAGGAAGTAAAGAAAAAGCAAAGAAGGAAAAAGGCTCTTCCACAAGTGGCCAAAGATATCGAGGCCTCTAAACCTATAGCAGAGGAAAGTTTGACCAAGAAAAGGTCTACACATCAGACTACGATGGCCGATATTTTTAAAGGGCTTCCATTAAAACCGATGGATACTACAAGACCAACTTATGTTACCATCACTTCTCAAGGTAAAAATGCAGCTGACATCATCAACAACCTGCCTTCTCCAACTGAACTAGGAGTCAAGGCGAGAGTTGTACGGGCGACCAAAGCTGGCTCAGTTTTAGTTTGTGTAGATGAGGGTGCCCATGCGAAAAAAATAATTGAATGGCAAAAATTAAAAGAAGTTGGGATGGAGGCAAAACTAGCCTTAAAAAGAAAACCAAAAGTGGAGGTAAAAGGAGTTCCCCTTTTATGGACTGCGGAAAATCTAGAAAGGGTGCTATGGGAAAGGTTGGCTGCAAAATCGGCCGCTATTTCTGAGAACCAATTAGGTAATATAAAGCCATTGTTCTCATCAATGGCTAGAAATAAAATTACCAATAATTGGGTGTTAGAAGTACATCCAATTGTAAGATATAATCTACTCAAGGAGGAGATAATTACAGAAGGTTGGTGGTCACTGACAATCTTAGATTACCCCGATGCTCCTCCCTGTCTAAGGTGTCAGGGATATGGACATACAAAAGCTACTTGTGAGGCAAATGGCATAGTATGCAAGTGGTGTGCGGCGAGTGGGCATATTGCTAAAAACTGTCCCGCAAAAGGAAATAAGACCGCACCTACATGCGTTAACTGCGTGAGGGAAGGTGTTCAAAAAAGTAAGGCTAAACACCAGGCAGGAAGTAGAGAATGCCCAGTGCACATCACGAGATCTCAAGAATTAGTGAGGAGAACTCACTATGATTAGACTCAACATCCTGCAGTTGAATATGGGCCGCCGGCATATTGTGGCTGACGAGCTTCGCGCCATGGCACAACGCTACGATATCATGGCGGTCCAGGAACCTGCCGTGGGAACAGAATTACGGGGTTAGGCCTCACGTCAAGAGTTATAGCCCTGAGCACTGGAGAGAGGAGGCCCAGGGCTGCAATAGTGATTAATAATCCTAACCTTGACGTGATGGATCTGAGACAACACACCATGGCGGATTATGCATCTTGCTATGTTAAGTGGGGCAAGATTTCTTTCACATTGGTATCGGCATACCTACCTGTGAATAGTGATGTAGAAGAAAGCATATCCGCTATGGAGGCGATCATTAGAGAGATGAGGAATGTGATCATGTGCTCAGATACCAACTCCTGGAACACGGTCTGGGGGTCCAATATTACTGACAGGCGAGGCGCTAAAATTGGAAATTTCATAGGCAAAAATCACCTTGTCGTGATGAACGAACCCTCTGCCACCCCTACCTTCTCTGGAGGCATGGGACAGAGTTGGATTGACGTCACGATCGCCACGCCTGCGCTTACGAGGTATATTGCTGATTGGACTCTCAGATCTGATACGAGTTCCGATCACGTTGCGATAGCAATTGGCCTGGTAAATGAGCCAGGATGTTCCCACGGTACTGATAAGGGTTTCGTCACTAAAATAAATGACTGGAGTGTCTTCAGGTCCTACCTGGAAGGAGTGATTGCAGACGAGGAGTGGGAAGCGGCAGAGATGGATGTAGTCGACAATCTCGACTACAAGGTGTCCAGGATTACCAACAACATTCGTGATGCTGCCGAACACTCCCTCAAGCACCGGAAGGCGAGGGTTCGACCTGTCCCATGGTGGACGCCAGCCTTAAATGTTCTAAAACGAGACCTCTACAAGGCCCGGCGGTCATATCAGAGGTGCAGATGCGACGAGAGGCGCACTGTACTTCGCAATGAGTACAAGTCCAAAGCCAGGATATACCGAAACGAGGTTCGCTCACAAAAGCGGAAGTCTTGGGACGATTTCATCATTGAAGAGTCTTTGAAGAATCCCTGGGGTATTCCGTATAGGGTAGCATTGGGTAAGTTGTCCCCGATGCAGACTATTGCAGCCTTGCGGTATCATGATACTGAGGCAACCACCCTTGAAGAAACTGCCAATGTTTTCATTGAAGCAATATATCCCAGAGATGACCCAACCCAGGACAGCGAAAATGATGATTTTGTGAGAAGCACCACGGTATATCCACCTAGTTCAGATTTGTGCCCACCATGGGACATTCACGATCTTCGTATTGCCGTGGATAAGCAGAAGACTAATCGTGCTCCAGGACTTGATGCAATAGATGCAGCGATCTTGAGGAACAGTATCACGTATATTGAAGACCGGCTGTTGAGTATTTTCAATGAATGTCTGGATATGGGATACTTTCCAAGAAGATGGAAGATCGCTGATTTGAGACTACTCTACAAGGGAGGAGATAGGGACAAACAACTCCCTAATTCATATAGACCTATATGTCTCCTCCCTGTGATTAGCAAGGTCCTGGAGAACCTCGTGATGACTAGTTTACGGCCTGTTTTCGCTAGAGCAAGTCATCCACGGCAATATGGATCAACCAGAGGCAGAGGAACCGCTGATGCCCTGCTGAGAGTGCGCAGAGATGTTGAGGAGAGGGCGGAGCGGTATGTCATGTTGCTTCTTTTCGACATATCCTCCGCCTTCGACAGCGTATGGTGGCCTAGCGTGCTCCAGCAGCTGCAGAGGTATGATGCTCCTAGTAACTTATACACACTAGTAAGAAGTTATCTCCAGGACAGAAGTGTCAAGATTAGAGGCAATTACTACGAGGTAGAAGCTTCCATAGAGAGAGGTTGCCCTCAGGGATCGGTGCTTGGTCCTGCTCTATGGAAGCTCGTCTTTGATGAGTTACTGGGAGTGTTAGAGGAGGAGCGGTTTTCTGCCACTGCTTACGTTGACGACCTAGCTGCTGTGGTGGCCTCCAACAGCAGAGCTGGAGTCAAGAGAGAAGCAGAGCGATGAGCCAGCCTAGTCTCTAGATGGTGTGAGGGGAAGAAGATGAGGATGGCTGCTGCTAAGACTCAAGCCATCCTCCTTAAGGGAAAGACTGATAGGGCACACCCTATAACGATGTACATAGAAGGTCAGAGGATACGTCCAAGTGAGGTGATAACCTACCTAGGGGTTAGGTTAGGTGTAGGCCTCAATATGACGCCTCATTTGGAATATCTGGCAGGTAGGGTGGCCCTAGCAATGAACGGTCTAAGTCGTGTGGGGTGCGCATTTTGGGGCCTTAGGTATCCAGCCACTTTCACTATTTATAAGGGTGTTGTGGAGGGTATCCTTAGGTATGCGTCTCCCTTCTGGTTCCGAAACCTCACACTCAGACAAAGAAATAGGCTAGCATCGACTCAGAGAACTGCTCTGCTTCGGGTCACCAGAGCATATAGGTCTACGTCGCATGAAACAGTGCAGGTCTTAGCGGGGGTGGTGCCTCTCGACCTCCTCCTGCGAGAAGAAGTGACCAGGTACGACTACAAGAGGGAGGGCTCAACTAGTCTGTCGGAGAACCTACGGATGAGGATTATTGAAAACCCAAATAAATGGAAAAAGATTATCCGGGAGGAAACAATTGAAGATTGGAGCAGACGGTGGGTGACGACTTCGAAAGGCAGTACCTTAAGAAAATACTTTCCCACCGTTGAATCTCGGTTACAGGCGAAATGGGTCCTCCCGGACTATTGGGTTTCTCAATTTCTCACGGAGCATGGGGGTTTCAGAGCTAAACTTCATGGCTTCGGACAGGATATAGATCCCCACTGAACCGCTTGTGGTGTTCCGGAGACTGTTGAGCATGTGGTCACGGTCTGCACTGCTTTCGACGAATTAAGAGCGAGGTTAATGAGAACCACGGGGATTTACGTCCTCACTGAGGAGGAGTTTCCTCAGTTGGTGAGTGAAGAAAACTTTCCGCGGTTCAAAGACTTTATAAATGGCTGGAAGACGGCGGTAGGCCCAGCTCACTTTAACCTTGGTGCACACAGAAGGAGAAGAGGACCAGTCCCAGGAAGACCTCCGGATTCGGGAAACCAGGCCTGAAGGAGCCAGGAAAAAGTAGAAGAGCTAGCTGTGTGCACAGCTTAGAATTTTGTAAACTGATATTATGGCAGTAGTGTGTTATTATGCATTAATGCTTAACATCACACTACTGCATACACCCGTGTTGCCCTGGTGGCATGGGAGGGTGGAAAACAAATAAAAAAAGGATGGTGGACATGGGAATTAAAAAAAAAAAAAAAATCATTTTTCGAATTCTACGTATCCTGAAACGCAAAACCTCAAATTTTGAGAGGAGGTTAAGTTTTGGACTATTTTGTTCTATTACAATGGTTCATTATTGAAAATAATTTACCAAGATATAGCCTATGAAATTGAATAAGTTATAATGTACCTTAATTTTCATAAACCAAAACAAGTTTTCAGTAAAGTAGACCAAGTATTTTTTTTGTTTTAAAAAGCAACGTAGATTCTGTTTTAGTCTTATTTAAAACAATTTAATACAAATTGTAACACTTTATTTCTAAGAAGATTTTGTTCCGAGTTTAAATTGAATCATACCTAACTCCCTCAAAATTCAACTTTAATGCTATTGTTGAAAAGTTGCACTATTTCTCTTCCAAGACATACTAATAACATTTAAACTGTATGTTTTTGTAAGCTAGAAATGGATAATAGAATCATTTGTTGTTGTTTATATGGCTTTAAACCCCTTATAATATTTGCGAGGATAGGTAAAGCCATCTAGAAACTATCACAATTATTATGGTTGTCAGCAAAGTTTTGACCAAGGCAAAAAATGTGAACAAAAATTTGTATTATTCAATTAATAAACAAATTCGTATTTAAACGTTTTTTTTTTTTTTACGAATGGCGAATATCAACTTTATTTCTCCCTAAAAATATATTTAATTTAAATACCAGATCATTTTTAAAAATATATCATATTTGGCTGTAACAATTTTATTACATGGGTGCAATATTATAACAAATTGTATCAACCAGTACAGAAATGGATGCTAGAGAGGTTGAATATCCCTCTAGGGAGAAAAAAAATTATATATTTTTTACTTCCTGAAACAACACCTTAAATACAAATTTTTATCTCAATCAAAAATTTTAAAATTGTAATGTTTACAAATGGTAGCATAAGCGCGTTTATTGCAGACTATCAACACTTTAATTATCTGGATATTGCTTTATTTACCTACCAAGAACATTTATCTGCATGGTCTCTGGCAGTCCCATAAATCGCCCATTTAGAATCCTAAAATGCCTTCGATAGCGACTACTCTTGAAATTTATAGTAATTGGATCCTCGGGCAAATGGCTTTATTTATTGGCGTCCCTTGCCAAGGACGTCATCGATAATCATATACACACCTAAGTAATTCATGTTAGAGTCTAATCTCGGTCCCTATTAATACTAAATGTTTATTTGATAGGATTTCGTAATTAACTAGGTCCATGTTTGCCTAGCGAGCTTACAAGCCAATCAATCATGGGTACTGATGTATTGATTATTCATTTTCAAATAGTAGTCACTTGGGAAAACGATTTCTTTTACTAATAAAAAATTAATGAAATAATTAAAATGTAAAATAAACTAATAATCAACAGTTTTGTTAATTTTTTTTATGAATTATAAGTTTATTACCCATTTTTATTTTTCCATTGAATTCTCAGAATTTAAAAGAAATTAATAATTCATTAATTTTGTTTTCTGTCAAACATGATATCACTTTTTCTAGTAATTTTCCGATTCACAGCTGCTAATTTAATATATTTATACATTTAGAACTCTCTTAGAATAATAAAAGTCTTCCTTAGTACAAGACATTGCTCCGAAGAATTCCAAGCATGTTGCTGGTAGTGTAAATATAAGTCAACGGAAATCATAAATTATTTTTTTCGAGGTAGAAAGGGAAGGTTGGTGCGGTTTGATTGATAAATAGTAATCAAATATTATTTTAATTTCAATAAATTTTACTGTCCACGGAAGCTTCAAAGACTTGACAAAGTCAGAACCGAAGATGTCCATGTAAATATGTATTGTGTTATTTTAATTTAAAATATTACTCAAAAATTTACTCTCAAGTGCTTAGTTTTTTCTCTCATCATTCAAATTTGTCTTGTCTATATTTCAACATTAAATTTAAAATTATTATTTTTTCAAATGGCTGTTATAATAATTTTGATAAATACTATGTGAACGCCGTTTGATAAAAGTCCTTTCGTCACGAATATACCCACAGCTGTATTAATTTTTACATTCCTACCTATACTAGGTAAGGAAAGTATTGCAATCTGGTCAAATTTTCCGATATGCCATTTTCGACGGATCTATACGTTTCAGAACCCCCCGAGTCCAAAAAACTCATTTTTAGCCATTGTTCTGTCTGTCTGTGCTAAAATTTTCTCAGGAACTACTAAACCGATTTTGTTGATTTTTTTTTTTATTTTATAAGGTTTTGACTACTGATGCCTGGGACAGAAATTCGGTGCTCCATAAGCAATAGCTCGCGCGCAATAAATGAAAAACATCTTATTCTAAGGACTGTAACACGAAAACGGCTCTAACGCTTTTCATGAAACATTCCTATAATGTACCAATAATTGTCCTTTCAATTATAGACTAAATTCCCGAAAAAAATCAGGAAAAAAGTTATAAAGAAATGAAAAACGTTATGGGGCCTAACTCTCTAAGCATATATTATATGATGAAATTGATAATACAACTTTTGAAAGGTAATTAAATTACAAACAAAACAACAACAAAAATCATCGGAATCGAACCAGTATTAGCGATGATACAGTTTATTCTATTTTTTACACATGTTTTAACTTACTACTTTCCTACCTATACTATGTAAGGAAAATATTACAATCAGATCAAATTTTTGATATGCGGTTTTCGACGGATCTATACGTTTCAGATCCCCCTGAGTCCGAAAAACACGCCGTTTAGCCTGTTTCTTGAAAGGTAATGAAATTCCGTACAAAACTATATAAAATCGTTCATTTTGGACAACTATTGACGAGTTTCCAATGTAGCATTACGGGTTTATATCCTGGTGTTAGAAAGGTGTGAATGAAAGAAAATAGATCACTAAGTAAAAGTAAGAAAATCTGCACGCACCACATAAACTTCACTATTTCCTCTACTTTTAACAGAAATTATTGTTTGACAATAGTAAGCTATGGCAAAAAGTTTTTGATCAGCAATATTGGAGAGTATTGAAATTTTTACACTGATCTACCTTAAGCCGCTTTACATTGCTTTAGTTTATCGAATAGATCGTACTCAAATATTTTCTTTGATCAATTTTCAGAAAAAAAAAATCTAGTTCAACTTTTTTTTTTTTGTTTCTTTATGAACACATATAAAGATAAAAAAATCTTTTTTGAAATAGATAGGAAAGTCGTGTGAGTGGACACACAAGATGTTCTTTAAACAAAACAAAACATAACATTTTATAACACTATTATTGTTCTTACCATAAATTTTCTTCTCTAAAATTCATAAATGAATGAATGATCAATCAGTGATTATACATGGTTTTATGAATTTTAGTTATTATTTAATCCTACTATCGATACATCTATAAGGATTTGTGGTATTTTTTTCTCTTTTACACCGTGAAGTATTTATCCACAAAAGTTATTCCACCTTAACATCACAAAGTCAGAACATGTATCATTATATTGTAAAATATGTTAAGCCAAACGGGCCTATCTCGCATATACTGCTATTGAATCCGTTCGAAGTTAGAATTCTTTAGGCCTTCGCATCGATGATAAATGACTTCTCTTGTCGGTTTCCTTACGTTACGATCTCGAACGGCCATTACTCAGCTGGAAAATCGTCGAAGAAAAATGGAAGGGAATTCCTCCTGTGAGTCTAAGTCGTCGAAAGTATAATTTTTGCTGTTTAACAGATACGGATATCTGCGATTGCCTGTCTGACCAAAAGATATCGGAGAAGGTGGCATTTATCGCAAATTCTCGACGGTTTCGGCGAGCATTTGTCACGAATATTTGCGTGACTCTAATAAGTGTGAATTCCACCTGGCTCATCCAACACATTTCTTCAACGTTGCGACTACTATGTCGTATATGAGTCAAAAAGGAACCAAGTCTATGAATAGCTATCCACAAATTAATATGTATTAGTGGATTATGTGTCATTGTTACTATGATTTTAGATAAAAACTGCTCAACACTTTGGTCATTCAGAATATTTTTACTCAACATTTACTTCAGAATCCTTCATACTAAATACCAATATATGAAATACAGCAATCAATGAAAAAATGCTATTGTACATACCACAGCTTTTATAAATAAAAAAAATGTGAGTTTTTCAAATTATTTAAAATATTATATATCTAAAACTATGATTTTCCTCTCACGAAGACGGTCGAAAGCGTTGAAATGTCGGACTTTTCATTTAGATCATTAGAGAGATCATATAAATGGATAGATCATTTATTATAGTAAATTATTTGAAAGATTTCTGAGTTTATGAAAAAATGAAAAAAAAAAAAAAATATATATATATATATACATATATATATGTATATATATATGTACTATACATATATATATATATATATATATATATATATATATATATATATATATATATATATATATATATATATATATAGATAGATAGATAGATAGAAGATAGATAGAAGAATCAACTTTATTCTGGGACTACGTCCCTTGAGAATAACAATATTGTACATAAAATTAAACATTACATCTGGCCAAAATGTATATTACAATAAACAAAAACAAACAAACAAACAAAAAAAACAACTAAAAAATAAGGGATAAAAGAAGTGTTTACATAACTGTACAGATATCGGAAGCCATAATATGAGAAATAATGTCCTAATACTGCAAAATAGTTGCTATACACAATACGCTATGAAATTATAAATGAGCGACAAATAATAATAAAGATGTTATAGTAATAGTAGTATGTTCGTAGAACCTAATAGTATAATCGAAATACAATAATAGTGTAATCGTACATACACAATATATACACCCAATAATACAATAATAGTGAGAATACAATAATAGTACAATAGTATATATACAATATAAATATATTAATATATATATACATATACATACATACACATATACATACATACAATGCAACAATAGTATAATAATACAATATAGGCTACCCAGCGTCTGATTGAATTGTAAGGAGGAATTGGAAAAGGAGGGTTTTAAATGTGGATAAGGATGGTGCATGGCGGATTTTAAGTGGGATGGAATTCCAAAATGTGGTGGATCGGACAATAAAGGAGTGTTGAAATGAGGCCGATTTGTGGAAAGGGGTATAAAGGTCGGAAGGACGAGATCTTGTGGAGAGGGAGTGGATAGATGACTTGAATTGAAGGAGATTGAATGCGTAGGACGGACGATGATTATAGATTATTTGGTAAAGGAATGTACCTAGGAAGTACTGTCTTCTGAAGGAGGGGAAGAGCCACCCTGACTCGGCGTAGTAGTGGGAAACATGAGAACGTCTCGGGGTCCCATTGACAAATCGTACTAAGCCATTCATTATTCTTTTCAGTCTGACTCCAAGTTCCGATGAGAGGCCACCGTACACTACACAGCCGTAGTCAATGTGGGGGAAGATGAGGGCGGATACTAGGAGTCTACGTGTGGATATGGGTAGGAGATGGCGGAAGCGATGGAAGAGTTTCAGGATGGAAATTGAACGTCGGGATATGAGGGAAATATGGTGATTCCAGGAGAGGGTTTGATCTATGATAACACCTAAGTTTTTAACTGAAGTGTTGAAGGTGATGGGTTGGTCATTCAGGTACAGGAGAGGAATGTTGGTATTTGATCTGAGAAGGGGTTTGGAACCGAGGACAATGGCTTGGGTTTTAGCAACGTTTAACCTTAATCCATTTTCACTTGCCCAGGCACAAATCCGATTTAGGTCTTCTTGTATTTTGGCAAACGCATCATGCCATTCAGAGGGAGCGAAGGAGAGGTAAATTTGGGAATCATCGGCATAAAGGTGATGTGAACAGTGAAGGATTGATTTATGAAGGTCGTTAATATATGAACTAAAAAGGAGAGGAGATATGCTGGAGCCCTGTGCCACTCCTGAGGACAGAGTTAGATAGGATGATAAAGGTTGGTTCGGGATAGAGACTGCTTGGGTACGTTGAGAGAGGAATGATTGAAACCAAAGGATAGAGCTGTTGGAAAAGGATAACGATTTCAATTTGGCGAAAAGGATGGAATGGTTAATGGTATCAAAGGCTATGGAAAAGTCCAGGAGGATAAGGACCGTTAGTTTTTTATCATCTATGGCTGACTGAACATCACTAACGATTTTGATTAGGGCGGATTGTGTGGAGTAGCCTGGTCGAAAACCAGACTGGTAAGGGTCAAGTTGATTGGACTGTTCTAGGAAGTTGGAAATTTGGGATTGGACTATTCGTTCTAGAGGTTTTGCAAGGTTAGACAGAATTGAAATTGGACGGTAATCTTCAGGGGACGAAGGGTTAGGATTTTTAAGTAAAGGACGGACAATGGCTTTTTTCCATGAGGAAGGGAATATTGCGTTCTGAAGGGAGAAATTGTAGATGAAAAGTAGAGCGGGAAGGATTTCAGGTAGGCATAATTTGATTAATTTGACGGGAATACCATCTGGACCAATGGAATTGGAATGAGATTTCATGACGGCGGATATGAGGTCTGTAGGAGAAATATCTGAAAAATAAAAGTTGTCGTCGTTAAATGATATTCCAGGAGTAAAGAAGGAAAAGGTTGATGGAGGAATGCAGGAGGAAGCTGATATAAAATATGAATTTAAATCATCAGGTTTGACTGGAAAGGCTGCTGAGGAAGGTGATCTGGAAGAGACACAGAGGGAGAGTTTACGAAGGAGTTGCCATTTGGTTTTGGAATCAGGAGCTGCTGAAAGGGCTTCGTGGAAATAGGAGGATTTGGATCTTCGGATATTGGTTTGTGTCAGGTTACGGAGCACCCTAAACGCTTGGTAGTCGTCAGCGAGTCTAGTGCGTCTAAAGCGTCTGCGGGCTGCATCGCGTCTCTTCTGAAGATCTTTAATTTGCTGACACATCCAGGGAGCAGGGGGGCGACGAAAGGTAGAGGTTTTGATGGGAGCATGGGTATCAAGGATATTACGGAGGTTGGAAGTTAAAATATCAACCATAGCGTCAATACATGAACAGGAATATATTCCATTCCAATCAAGGGTTTCCAGGTAGGGTAAGATTTTTTCACGAGTGAGGACATCAATATTACGGAAAGTTATGGTTCTAGGTAGGATCGGAGGAGTATGGATATTATATGAAATTTGAATTAGGTCATGAGAGGATAAAAAGGAGACCGGTACTTGTGAGGAGGAAAGGAGGTTCTGAGCGGAGTCGATAATGTAATGGTCCAACCAGGTATCGGACCTGGGGGTGTGATGAGTGGGCGAAAAAGGAACAATGAAAAGATGAAGAGAGAAAAAAAGGTTTTCGAGGTATGATTTATCGCTGGAATCGGAAAGGAAATTAGTGTTTAGGTCTCCGGAGATGATTATTTTGGTATAAAGAGGAACAAAGTTGAAGAGGGATGATTCAAATGATGGATCAAAGGGAACAAGAGGAGGTCTATACACTACGACATAAAGGATAGGAGATGTATCAAAGGAAATTTCAGCGATTAGGAACTCTACATGTGGGTGATCGGATGGAGGAGAGCAGTGGAGTATTCGGGTCTTCATGCATTCGTGAACATACAACGCTACACCTCCGCCAGTCCGGCTCGTCCGGTCGTGGCGGATTAGTGTGTAGTTAGGAAGGGAAACAGATGAGGAAGGGATGTAAGGCTTGAGCCAGGTTTCGGAAATTGCAATGATATGGTAACAATTATGGGTAAAGTATTCAAGGAATTCATCATAGTGGGCTGGGAGGGATTGGGAGTTGACGTGACAGGTATTAAGGATGCTAGACATGATTAGGCTTGAGGAAAATAAAGTCAGAATTTGGTGAGCAGACGCTGGATCGGATATGATACATTAGATGAAATAATGTAAAAATAAAAATATAAGAAAAAAAACCATTAAAAAGAAAAAAAATTTTGAATGCAATAATCAATAGAAATAAATTAATCAAAAATTTCCGGTAGTAACATAACATACATTTCAGATTTTCAGTGTGAGTCCTGTGAACTAAGCCAAATTGTTTATCGATGTTGAGGAGTAAACAGGGATCGAAGAGTCAGCCGAAGACGTCTAGGTCTTGACTCTGGTCGATAAAGACAACCTGATGACCGTCATCCTTTCGACACCGCAGTCTGCCGCCGGAGAACCATATATATTTTATTTTCCCTGCTGATTTCTTCTGCCGAGCGAGCCAGTAGAGGTACCTGTTATATATATATATATATATATATATATACATATACATATACATATACATATATACATATACATATATACATACATATATACATATACATATACATATATATATATATACATATATATATATATATATATATATATATATATATATATATATATATATATATATGCATATATATATATGTATATATATATGTACTATATATATATATACATATATAAGTTAAGCGTCGTCGGACTTAAGAAATAAAAAAAAAGAAGGAAAAGGGAAAAGATGTAACATACACGACTTCTGAATAAACACTGCTTTATTCGTTCCATAAGCCTCCTTATATACACTTAGCCTGTTTATTTACATTATCAAATAGTATTAAGGCTGATACCGCCAGTCTCCGGTCTTTATCTCCCCCCCACCAGTTTACGAACAGGATTTTCGGAAACTTAAATATTCCTAGATCGGAGCCCACGGTGACC